AGTTGAGGACGGCTGCCTCAAGCTTGTAATGGACACACGCACGGGAGAAGGTAGGATGGGCCTCACCGCAGTTGAGGCAACGAGCCTGGGGAGAAGTGCACTTCGACTTAGTGACCTTCACTCCCAGACAAAGGACAGAGAGAGACAGTCCCAGAGCAGCGGAGGGCACCATGCCCAAACCTCCAGCACTTGTTACAAAGTCGAGGAGAAGGAATATACTCCTGGACAGAGCACCTAGCACCAGCAAGAATGACAGAGGATGGAAGGGTCCTACCATCAAAGGTGATCTTCACAACGCGAAGGGGTTGACGGGGACGAGTAAACGAGTCAACCTGGAGGACAGAATGGCCTTGGGCATCAAGGATATGCCGAATATCATCGTGGCAATCCTGCAGATTCCGAACACCGGTTGCAACATGGGGCGGGAGGAGAATAGTGCCAACACTGGCATTCATCTGAACGTTCTTGGAGACCCGAACAGGGATCTCGCCAAGGCAAGATAAGGCAGCCAAGCGGGAAGCCGCATTCTGAGAAGGAGCAGCAACGACACGTGTACCGAGACGAGTGGGGTTGAAAGTAACAGACACATCCACGGAATCTACAAGATGCCGATGGAGGGAGAAATCGTCAGGAGGCGCAGAATCAAGAGGGAGGAGATCAAAGTATTTGGCCCATGAAGCAGGACCAAACAAGGCCTGATACGCATCAGCACGGGAAGGAATCGAGCGAGTGCGGTTGGGGCGCGAACGGCGTTGAGAACCCCTAGAGAGAGAGGGGTCAAAAGGCGCAGTAGTCACAATGAAAGAATTAGCCACACCAGGGGACGAAGTGGTCACCACCGGGGGCTGGAGGCTCGACCCAACCACAGAGGAGGGAGGGGAGCTGGGGGAAGAAGTCAGGACGGTCAAAGGAGGAGCAAGGTCGGGGCCCAACGCAGCGGGAGCTACAGAGCCTGGTCTTTCAATACAGGCCAACTCGGGGGCTTGGTCGCCCACCCCACGAGCCTGAGAGGGTACAACGGAAACATTCAACGACATAGAGACGAAAAGTGACAAATTCACCCACGAATGTGCCCCCATACCCACCATGGAGCCACAATTAGAGGCAGGACACCCAACAGGAAGCTATCGCCGATCATGCCGGGGCCCTCTAGGGGTGCGTCGTGAGTATACGCCCCACAAACGCCACCTTAAGAACCGTCAGTCCGTCGAGATCGGGTTCAGCGACGAAAGGGGGATTGACAATAAAAGGTTCCCCTCGCTCGAGACGTTGGGTTCTACAGTTCTACGGGTGCAAGAGTATGCCTCCTCAAGCACCCGGGCGTCAAAATAGAAGAAGTCCGAAGAAATAATCCAAAACAAGCAAAAGGTCGGCAGGAAACAACAAGCAGATAGGAGAAGAGGGGGGAGAAAAACGAAACATAAGGAAAAGGAAAAGCGATCTGGCACAATTGGAGAAGACAGCAGCAGGAGTGCAAGGCCAGAAAAGGACAGAGGACTGCCCAACGGAGCATCACACTCCGGCAGCCGTCCACCAAGCCCCCTCACGACGCCAACGGGCCGGATGGGGAGGGGGTACATGACAAAAAGGGTTGGCTCCAAAATGGACCCCTGTGGCACCCCACTCATCATATTTCTCCAGTCAGATTCATTCCCATTTATCACGACTCTTTGTTTTCTTTGTTTCAATCGTTGTTCTATTCATTCTAGTATTTTACAATTTATTCCACGAGCTTGTCTTTTCCTTGCCAGTCCTTCATGTGGAACTTTATGAAAGGCTTCAGTAAAATCCATGTATACTACATCCACCGGAAGTTCCTGGTCTGTGAAGCTGGTGACCGTTTCCAAAAATGTGAGCAAGTTTGTAAGACAGGATCTATTTCTAACAAACCCATGTTGTGTCGATTTTAATAGATTGTTCACTGAAAGATAGTGAATAATTCCCTCCCTTAGCATTCTCTCTGTGAGCTTGCAGATGTGCGGTGTCAAGCTGATTGGCCGGTAGTTCTCTGTTGAGCTCTTTCTGCCTTTTTTTTTAAATAGGGGATAACATTTGCATATTTCCAGTCTACAGGGACTACCCTTAGGTCCAGAGATTTTGCGATTTTGCTTCAGGGGCAGTGTTACGACCCTGGGTTCTCCAGTGGAAACCAGAGGTCAAAATTGAGCTATTAAACTTCCTAGTAGTACAGTTGGCGCATTTCGAATGGCAATTGTTTGTATCTTCCCTGCCAGACGTAAGACTATTATTGTTTCTCAAAGAGCATTTAAAGACTGAGCTGGGGGTTGATTATTAAATAATAACATAGGCACCAACTTTGCTTACTAATACTTTCTAATCATTCATAAAGTAACAATACGTTGCATAGGGGAAGATCTTTAATGTGCTTAGCTGCACGATCAATTAGGCTCCTTCCGGCACCACGACATGAGGGAGGCAGCTGGTCGCTAGCTCGCTCTTCTCTCTGGCTGGTGTCGTGGGGATAAGACCTACTCTGTGGCTGCACCCCTACTCTCCTCCCTTCTCCTCTTACTTATTTCCCTTACCTGAAGTTCCTGTATCCTTAAGCTAAGTACGGGGCATTAGTAAGTGTACCTACTCTGGTAGTAACTATTGGTGAGACCTGGGGTTAGTATTTGCCAGTGTTTTTGTTTACCCTAAGTGTTGTGTTTTGTATTAGGGTACCACATGGTCTCACTACCCTAAGCTGCATCCAGCTTCAGTGCTTATCCAGTAGTACTTTACCCTAGCTTGTTATTAGTGTAAACCTTGTATCCTGTCTATATGGACCAAGGCTTTTAACGTAAGATAGTGTGGTAAAGTTATTATTATTATTGTTATTGGTGCGAGTGTATATGGGGGGTTGTTAAGGGGTTAATAAATAAGTACATGAATTACAGAGTATCTCTTCTTCCAAGGTGGGAGCGCAGTGATCAACCCTTAGACTAACATATATGGTCTTGTAGCAAGTTATTACTACTGTGGATAGTTTATTTTGGGGGCCGGGCCTTTTAGCTCTCCCATATTTGATACTCTTGTCTTCTAACTACCTTTACCCCTTAATAGTACCAGTACCCCATAGAAGCCCCACTCATATCAGTTGTAACAGGCAGGCATGGTTCTTCTGTCAGTTCTTTAAAGACTTTGAATTAAATTCCATCCACATCATGGGCTTTTGGGTCTTTTAGTTTCTTAATGTTCTTCCTGATTATGTCACATGTTATGGTTATATTCCAAAATTCCTTCTCCACCTCTCCTTCAGACATGTGTGTGGGTGATGGGATGTCATCTAACCTATATTGTGTGAACACCGATGTAAAATATTAATTTAGAGTGTTTGGTGCCTGTTTGTCATCTATTATTACTTGGTTAGTCTCATCTATTATAGGTCCTACCAAGTCCTTTTTGGTTTTACTTCTAATATAGGCATAGAACAACTTTGGATCATTCTTTATGTTTTGGGAAAGTTGTCTTTCGTAGTTTCTTTTGGCTGATCTGCATTCTGAGTGCCCTTTTGAGTTTAGTTTAGTGCCCTTTTTGTTTAACTCATTATAAATGATGTCCATCGAGGATTTATATGCTCTCCAGCGATTCCTCTTGGTTACCAGTGCTCGTGTCATCCATCCTGTTGCCACATATTTTTGAACGAGTTCTGTGATGACCTTGAAATTTTGGCATGATGCTTCTATGCCATGTTCACCCTCTCCCTCCAGGAGATGTGTTGTAGTTCCTCTCTCTCATTCCTTGATAGTCACCTCGCTGGTAATGTAGACATTCTTCATCATGAACCTTTATGTGGGTTCCTGTATTTGTTGTCCATCTTAAAATATGGACAAGTGTAAGTGCCTCTTCTGTCTCCTCACTTAGTGTAAGTGTCTCTTCTGTATCCTCACTTGGCCCCAGACATCACTCGGTACCCTTACTCAAATCTCTGAATATGTTAGATATTAAGTCACTGCACATTCTCTCTTGTGTATTATACATATATAAAACGCTGAACTGTAATGCCAATCCTGACCTCAAAAGCTTCATTGAAGGTTGTAACAGAACCCATGAGCACCACACCAGAAATAAATACAGTTTCGATATACCTAGAGTACGACTTAATCAAACTAGAAATGCTCTACAAATCAAGGGACCCAGAATATGGAATGACCTTCCCAACCATGTTAAAGACTGTACCTCTCTCAACCAGTTTAAGATAAAAACTAAACACTACCTAATAAATTCCCTGTAACCTACCTCACTCCTCTATTGTCAACCCATTTTTTTTTTTTTTTTTTTTTTTTTTTTTTTTTTTTTTAAATCAACACTGTCAACCTATTGTATTTGTGCTGCTTTTTCAGTCATGTTCCCCCTATTTTTTATCTTTATTTGTATTTGTTCTCAACACTTTTTATTCTTTATGCTCAATTAGTATTAAGTTCTAGATATTAATGTTTTTCTTGCCCGAAACGCATTGCGTAATAGTGGCTTTAGGCATTGTATGTACTAGCTCTATCTATATATCAATCCATTAATGTAACATCACTTGTATGTATGTACCTTACCTGAATAAACATATTTATTTATTTATTTATTTTACTTAGTGTAAGTGTCTCTTCTGTCTCATCACTTAGTGTAAGTGTCTCTTCTGTCTCATCACTTAGTGAAAGTGTCTCTTCTGTCTCATCACTTAGTGTGTCTCTTCTGCCTCCTCACTTAGTGTAAGTGTCTCTTCTGCCTCCTCACTTAGTGAAAGTGTCTCTTCTGTCTCATCACTTAGTGTAAGTGTCTCTTCTGTCTCATCACTTAGTGTAAGTGTCTCTTCTGTCTCATCACTTAGTGTAAGTGCTACTTGTCTCTCCTCACTATGTTGCTCGTGTTTTCTAAGTCAATGAAAAAGTTTCTATAGTCACCATCACTGACAGTGTTGTTAGTCACCATCACTGACAGTGATGTTAGTCACCATCACTGACAGTGTTGCCACAGTCACCATTACTGACAGTGTTGTGTTGCAGGTCGCCGCTGGTGACGCTGGACCTGGGGGTGGGGGTCGCTGGGGCGGCCTGGTCCCCCTACACCAGCACGGTGCTGGTGGCGGTGACGGAGGAGTGTCGGGTCCACGTCTACGACCTCTTCCTCCGTCAGTGTCGTCCACTCTGTCTCCAGAACCTGTCCCAGCGCCGGCGAGTCTCCGCTTCCTGTCTCGCCTTCAGCCCCTTCTACCCCGTCGTGTCCGTCGGCGGTGACAGGTTGGTGCCCTCTCTCTCACCTCCCACCTTCATGTCACTATAAGTAGACAGACAACGTTTTAACTAATAGATCACGTAGATACATTTCTGCTATATCTTTATCTTCAGAATAAAAGGTCTGTCAGTCTGGTCAAAGTAGGCCAGATGTGTGGAGTATGTATGGGCCATTGGCCTGAATCGGCCTAAGTGCCAGGCTTTAAGAAATTTCGTCATATTAGATCTCTGATCAAAGTATGCAGAAAAACCATGTGAGATCATCACCATGTGCGAATCTAGCAGGTAGTGGATGGGTCCTCACGCCCAATTTATACTAAATGAATGGGGTTAGGGGCTGGAACCTGAACAACTCAAGTTTTTTTTATTTTTTTTTTTATTTTTACATGCAAAGCATGCAATTTAAATACAATAAAAACAACACAGAATACAGAACAAAACAAAATAAAACAATAGACCACCGGCCAGAAGGGCCGACAGCATAGCACAACAAAACACAAACACGATAAATGCATAGAAAAATACAGCATACATCAAGGCACAAAACATAATACAATGGCAAACTAGCAATCACAGTAACATCACAAAACAAAACCTGCATAAAACAAAACATACATCAAGAGGCAGAACAGGAAACATAACAGGACAATCATAATACATTCCAAACAAAACATAAAGAACAAACACGTACAACAAGTAAAGCAATATGAAAACACCAGGTCAAACGTACAGCACAGAAACAATACAGGAATAAAAACACACACACCAAACCGTCCGCCCCGTAACAAAGGGCGAGGCCAAAAGAAACAATAATAATAAACAAGCAAACCATGCAAACAAGAAAACAAAACAGGTACAAACACAACAACATACATGCACTGGCCTGAAGGACCGAGAAGAAAACACAACATAAAGTACAACAAGAAACATGCTGGAACTGAAGTTTTTTTTTTTTTTTTTTTTTTTTTTTACTTTTATGTTTACATGCAAAGCATGCACCTGAAATACAATAAAAACACAGAAAACATAACAGAACAAAATAAAACAAGAGACCACCGGCCAGAAGGGCCGACAGCAGAGTACAACAAAACACAAACATGATAAACTCATAGAAAAATACAGCACACATCAAGACACTAAACATTATACAATGGCAAACAAGCAAGCACAGTAACAACTCAAAACAAAAAACACTGCATAAAACAAAATATACCTATACTATCCGCCCCGCAACCAAAGGGCGAGGCCAAAATAAACAATAATAAGAATCAAACAAACCAAACACAATAACATACATGCACTGGCCTGAAGGACCGAGAATAAAACACAAGACAACACGCACAGCACACAACAAGCCATGAATAACAACAAAAACAACAACTACGGTAAGTGTACATGCAGGCCCGTGAGCCTGTCCGGTGGGAACCGCACATTGAACGCCTCCCAAAGCAGCCACGTCGTCCAGGAGGCTCGACCCAACACCGGGGGCGCCATGCGGAACCCCGGCAACAAACACCCACAGACATGGAACCCACATGGTGTCCCTCCGGACGCGAGTAACCGCCACCCTATCCCATAAACTCGGAACCCGTCCATCAGAAAAATCCTCTGGCCGGGCAAGCAGCAGGAACTCGGCAACCCGGGCCTCCAGGTCCGCAAAGCACAACACCGCAGGAGGGGGCCCGACAGAGGGCATCACCACAGAGGCATCAGCGTCCACGAGCACACCACCAGACGACTGCAGGGAATCATGGCGGGGCGGATCCTTACGTAAAGTCACCACCAGGCAACGCCCAGCACCAGCATCCGCACCATCCCTGGCAGCAGAAGCCACCACAACCTATAGCGGAGAGCCCCCGGACGGGGAAGAAACAGGAGACACACCCGAGACACGGGCATCAGCACCAGCAGGCACATGAACCTCCGCCACCACCACCCGCGGAGACAACGACTCAGCCGGATCCACGCCGTCAACACTAGAAGACCCACAGTCACCGAAGTCCTCAACATCAGCCCAGGCCGTAGACGAACGCCTGGAACGTTTGGGCTCCGGCCGGATATCGTCAGAGCCGGAAGCGGACCCAGAAACACGGGCACCACCAGCCGGACGAACCGACGCCCGACGCAGAACGGCAGCAGCCTCTACCACAGGGGGAACCGGACCACACACAGCAGGAGGCACCGCAGCCACCCCATCACCCAGCACAGACGGCGAGGGTGCAGGGACCAGGACAGACGCAGCAGAGGAAGAACCGGAAGACGAGGGGCCCGAGCAGCTGTCAGACGGAAGAGCCTCAGGAACGGCAGACGGAAGAGGCTCAGGAACACCAGCCGGAACAGGCGGAGCACCAGGTGAGGACACAACCACCGGAGGAGAGGTGACAACAGGGGGCGCAACAGGCGGAGCAACAGCTGAAACAGAGGGCACCTCCTCAGCCGAAGAGACGTCCACATCCACCGAATCATCCCCCACAGGAAGTGGCGGAAATCCTCCTCACTGAAGAGATTCACTGGTGCCACGGCAGGCGCAGAACAGGCAGCAGCCTGATGGCCCAAAAGACCACAACGATAACATGTCCGCAGCTGGCGGGCGTAAAACACCCGAACGTTGTACCCCATAAGGCGCACAGAGGACGGAATATCCTCCCAGAGTCTCATGCCCAGGGTGCGAATGTTAGACCTCACCCTTAAGAGGACTAGAAGACACCACGTTCACCCTCACACTATAACTTAGTCTCCGTGGTGTAGTGGTAAGACACTCGCCTGGCGTTCCGCGAGCGCTATGTCATGGGTTCGTATCCTGGCCGGGGAGGATTTACTGGGCGCAATTCCTTAACTGTAGCCTCTGTTTAACGCAACAGTAAAATGTGTACTTGGATGAAAAAACGATTCTTCGCGGCGGGGATCGTACTCCAGGGACCGTAGGATTAAGGACTTGCCCGAAACGCTACGCGTACTAGTGGCTGTACAAGAATGTAACAACTCTTGTATATATCTCAAAAAAAAAAAAAAAACTACCGCGCCAAACCGGCCGAAATACCGCCGTAGCAGAGCCTCTGGAAACTCCAAGGGAGCCCCATGCACACTGATGTAAGTAAGTGCACCACTTCTATCAGAGAGGGTTACAGTGTCGTTACCAACTCGACCCCATAAATCTCAAAAAACAGGGACAGAGAACATATCACAAGCCAGCGCAATCTCCGGGTAACCAGCCCGCACAGAGAACTCTAGTCCCACAGACTGAGCCCGGACGACAGGGGATAGAAGGACCCCCCATCGTAACGCCACGTCAGCACAAGCGGGCAGAGACACACCCGCCCCCAACCGGCCGAAACTAAAAAACAACCCCAACTGCTGGAGCGCCGAAGCAACACGTCTGTCCCCTACCGAAGCTAGGGCCTGAACAACTCAAGTTGTTGTAATAGGGGCCAGCCATTAACCTCTATTTACTGGTTAAATGCTGGTCGTTATTAAGTAAAATATTCAGAAACCAGAGTTCTACTGTGTAACCTCCTTAAGATCTAAGAACGTTCGACCGTTTAGATATCATAGCTCGAGGATAATGTACCCTTCTATGCTACACTGCAAAGCCTCTGAAAACGCCGCCACCACCTGCTACCCGCTGAGTAATTCCCCCAATTGACGGTGAAGCAGGATACCATCAATTAGGTATAAACACCGTAAATGGATCCCCAGTTATCGGAAAAAGCGGGATAAGATTTATGTTAAGTGTGGAGATTAAATCAAAGTACAAAGGGATCATCTTATGTAATAAATAAATGCTTGCTGGCTTGCAGGGGGAGTCCTAGTTTCAAGCACGGGACTTAAGATCAACAACAATAAGAAATAACCGTTGGGGGAAATTCCACTAAACACCATAAATTCTATAAAAGATTTATTAAAACAAAGATTAATTAAATTTTAATACACTTTCGCGCAGGGGTGGCGCCAGACATTGATCGTTACCAAGTTTTCTCTCGTGTCCGCGTAAGTGACTCCGTCAGGAGTCTCAAAAACATTTGTATAAATTCCATTTTTTGTCCTATCTACTTGGATAGTTTACAAATGTTCGCCATGAAATTTACGTTTTCTCTAATAGCTGAAGAGATTATTTGGGAGAATGGCATGGCATTGAATCATTGTGGTAAAACAATTGTATTATTGACACGATGAGTATAATAGACATAGTTTTTGTTGCCGGTCTAACGCATCCTTGTGACATTTTACATTTGTTCTTCTAGAACATTCGATTGCGAACACATTGGTACAAAAATGAAAGACATCGAAAATTAATGTCAGGACAGTGAAAAGAATATAAACTTTTCAATGCGGGTTTCGCTGATATGCCGCTGCGGGTAACACTTCGGCCACTTCCCACTCTTGTGGGTGGGCTGCGACATTGATTCTCTATTTATATGCATATGTCCACGTAGGGAATTTTATTGCGATTTCAGTGATACCAAAATTAACGTTGTAGGACAAGTTCAGAGTTGACAACCCTGAAGATAATAGAAACATTTCATTGCTGTCTGGCGCTGACGGCTAGTGATTGACGTAGTTCTATATTTGGTGCCGATGTAACTCGTGTTTTGGTGACATTTTATACTTATGTTTTTCTAGAACATTCTATTGTGAACACATTGGTACGAAAATGAAATGCGTACATCGAAAATTAACGTCAGGACAGTGAAGTATACACCTTTCAGTGTTGCCGCTCAATCGCCCGAAACGCCGCACGCATAAGGGGCAAGTTTTTTTCCACTGCATCAATTGTGCGAAAGTGGTGGATTAAGGATGCCGGTGGAAAGAAGCTGCACCATCCAGACACCCAGGCATCACCCATTGAAAATAATGACAAAATTCCTACGGCCCATCTGAACAGTCCTTAAATTTAAAATCTTCCTAACTGAGGCAAAAATACAGAAATAATGTGGACTCTACACTGTACTAAAACTTCAGACACAGATACCTAAAAATATTACAGCCAGACCTCGATGGCCTGGCCCGGCTCCAGAGAGAGTTGACCCCCGTTAATACACAGCCCACACTGACCTGGACCTAGATTCAGGAAGCTCTGTGTATTTCTTCGTAAGTGGCTTTGCTACAAAGGTTCCTAAGTGCGCCCTAAGATGATGCTTAGGTGCG